CACTTACTCTAACTGATTCAATATTTGATATATCTAGTCAAATATCTCTTGATTTTCTACTTATGATTCTCTGTTCCATCAATAACTCGATCACAAGAATAATTCTATTGTTTTTGAATGCGAATAAATAGGTGATTGAACTCGATAAAATTCATTTTATACCAGCATCAGCTATTACTCCATTATTTTCGAATCAAAATATTCTGAAAACGAAACATAGTATCGAGTTTCACCAAGAGTACCGTTTTGGTGTAAAATTGAAAGATGTTCAAGTTCATGTCATATTTGGATTGAAAAATCTAACCTTGAAAAAGTTATGTTCTAAACCATTCGGTACGAACCGTGTAACTAGCGCCCTCTATGAGAGTCAGATATAAAAACAAATTCATGCGATGTGTCAGATTTCAAGAAAGATCCATACAAAATTTCATCACAATGGTGCCAGTAGTTTCAACATAATTGTGAAAAATGTGTAAAAAAATCATTTTTTCAACACCTTGTACCATGAAAACGGATGCTGCTGCGACATTTTGCTCACTGAGCAAGCCCAACTTAATTTACAGTGTTCTACCTACCCCAGCAAGGACGTCAGGTTTTTTTTTAACACCCTGTATAAAACTTCGGAAGCATAGGTAGGAGGTGAATGAACACGTGCTCTGCTGAAAAAGTGAAATGTCATTCCGCTAATTTTTGGGTCCCAGAAGGATGAGTGTATTTATATATATGTACTTACATCCCCATCCTTGTTACTACCAGGTTCCTACTATGTTTCACCAACATGGGAATTAGTTTTCGTAATGTCCGAAAAATATTGATCACTCATTATGACTCAACAATTGGAACATGAATAGAATCCTGAGAAATAGAGCCTCATGAAACTCCAACTTGCCTCACGAAGTTTTTGAAGCGAGTAGAACATTTGAATCAACTACATTCATTGATTGGATCAGTTCTGAAGGTAAAAATTATGATTCAAGTTATGAAAAGGGTTTGCCGAAAAATGCAAAACCTATTTCAGAGTTCATTACTATACGTGTATTCCCTATGTGAACACTTCTCATCTTGCAATAATATGGAACACTTTTCGAAAGTCTGAAATATTGAGACGATTAGTAGTTAGGAAGTCATTGTGTATCGGAAAACGAATAAAATGTGTTTGAAATTCTCTGATACCAATTTTTTACAGCAACACACCATTGAGATTAATTTGGTCCGTTACCTACTCAAATTTCATCCCAGTAAACGGTGGTTACAGTATAACTATAATACCCATTAGTGTTGTGCTCTACCCTGGATACTTTGCCTTAATATGAATTATCACAAAACAAGCGAAAGCAAAACAAAAAAGTTGAATCCGAAACTTAATCCACGAAAGATATGAAAATTGAGATAAAAATGAGTTCTTACATTCTCATTCTCTTGTTTCAGTAATCAAATTATCTTCAGAACAATTCTAAATCGCATTAAGAAAATCGTATTACATCTCTCGTAGTGTTTCAGCGACGCTAAGAAGAAGATATCTCCTTGCGAAGATGATTACGTTAAATCGGGGTATATTAGGGGAATTTTCAGCTTTGTATTATTTGTAAATTTTCATAAAAAACGCTCGTTACTTCTTATCAAGCTTCGAATAACACATACAGATGGGTACATATTTACAGTAATATAACATTATTGTTCTCTGATCAACACAGTATCAATATCCGCATTTTCCATCTCTCTAGACTGCCAATATATTATATACAGGGTCTATCTTCATGACTTTAAGTGATCTATTTATGGAGAACAAGAAGTAGCGCGATTCTGAAAATTCGTAGGGATGGTATAGAAAACACTAGAAATTCAACTAATCATCTTGAAATTCCAAATGTTTACGAGAAAATCAGCATCTCCGACACTGAAAATCCCCCAAATAATAATTCTGAATAAAATCGGATCATAATTACAGAACTCGTCCGCCATTTTGGATCCGCCATCTTGAGTTCTTGGTTTAAAAATGAGATTACGACCGATTTTCATACCTACCAAATACGCAAAAAAAAATTCATAACAGGAGAATTCATTTATTAAATTCATATCGAACATAGCCATTTTCATTCAAATAGCAATTGTCGATAAATCGTGAATATTGAAGGTATTATGGATCACGACTACTGACTAATTTACAGGGTGCTCATAAAAGTCGGACCAAAAAGTGAAAATGTAGAATATTTTTCATTTTCATAATTTAATTCTATATTAAAAATGGGTCCTATAGTTCTTATTAACTTCCCCATACCAAAAACCCATAATTTCGGAGATAAAACATCCCATCGTTGATAGCAATCATCAGTAACCCTATGGTAAAATCAAGTTACCTTCTTGAAAACAACATCAGAGAGTTACACATATTAATCGAGATATCAATACTCCCGATAGGAGAGGATAAAAAATGTGATTCCATAACTAGCGAAAATGGTTCCTTCATCAGGTTGAAAACATGTTCTGAAGCAGGTAGTGAAGATACTAAACTACTAGACAGAGCTGTAATTGGAAGATCAGATTTTGTGAAATAATAACACAATGGAGTCATTGTGATATCAGATATACGGAAATAAAATTGATGACATAGACGAAGTACCACATTGATTTTTAGAACACAGTATAACGAAAGCAATTTCGTGTTATAACCGTAGAAAAATACTGTTTCCGGCCTCCCCAAATTATCGCACGAATCAATTAGTATATTCGTCCGTGGTCATCGAACGTAAACCACATATGTCTGTTTTGAGTGACAGCAACGGTATTGCTCGGCATTTTATACTTCCCTTTTTGTTCTCACGTCCGCTCGTCAGCATTTCCAGAATGGCAGATCGGGTGGATTTAATTGCTCGTGTGATATCGCAGCACATTCATCGGAGTAGATAGCAAATGGTCGGCAAGTATCGCTTCATCAACAATATATAATAATAATCCGTCTTTATTTCCTCAAAAGAATATTACATAGTAACATGAGGCATAGGTGGTATGTGCATTGTGCATCAGGCGAAGTTTAGCTAGGAAGCTATTCTTACACTTAACCTGTGCTCGACTAATAACCTAATCCTAATACAATACTAATCCTAAAAACCTAAATCTAGCTTGACATCTACATTTTCACTCATTGTCTCACATGTAAAGTATGATTCAACAAATTGCTCTTAATTTTTTTACGGAATTGCGTCGATGGTGATTGTTTGAACTCTATTGGTAATGAATTATACAATATATAACCGAGTTTTATGTGAAGCTTCTTTCAAACAGAGACGTGGTATGATGAGGCATTGTTAATTTTAGCTGATGTCTAACATTTATATTATGGACATCTTGTCTGAAAATGAGTTTTTCTCTAAGATGAGCTGGAGTTGTGAATGAAATTGAAAAAATATTATTTTGGGGAATTGCTCATATCTAACCACTGAAGTTTCCTGAGTTTATGGGACACATGATCATATTTTCTCAGATTGAAAATGAGTCGACAACATTTTTTGCCATTTTGAATTTTCTGGATTATGTAAATGGTTCTTCGTTCTAAACAGGAAAAATAAACGATGTTACAATGCTGGAAAATTGACAGTATGAGACACTCACATAATTGTTTTCTCAGATTTAAACTCATGGTTCTCTTTTTTGCAGAGAGCAATCTTAATCGTGCATATGAGCGCTGCATTAATGTCTTGACATGTTCGACAAATCTTATTTTTTCATCAATGATGAGTCCTAGATTTTTCGATGATGTCGAGTATTCTAAATATGTATCCCCTATGTGCAAACGCTGTTCTCTCACTCCTTTCATATCAATATGTCGTTTCACAACCCGAAAGATCAGTATATCACTGATAGTCTAAGAGCTGACAACAAATTCAATTCTCACTTGTAATAACAATAGAGGTCAATTCATATCCGGAAATTTGACTTCGTGTTTTTTTTATGTTCTGGTTCCCACGAAAAGGAATATCCAGTAATGTTCAGAGAACATCGTGAGAACCAAGGGAAATAAGGTGTTCTTCTTAAATTTCTTGAGGTTATATGCCTCGGGAAACAACTCCCATGGCAATGTGTCCCAGAGTCTCGAGGTTCGTTGGATGAACGAGTCTTTGGAAAAAGATGTTCTGCAGGTCTCCAAAGTGACCACGAAGGGGTGCGAAGCCTCAACTCGACGGGTTAATCTCGCGGGGACTGCCAAAGGAGGAACAATTGTTGATATTCCAGAAGAGCATCGTCCTTGAAAATATCTATGAAATAGAGCCAGATCGCCAACTTTCCTACGGTGTTCCAGAGAAGTGAGTGAGTTTGTGAGCGAGGCACCACTCACGAGACTAATTGCCCCTTTTTGGACACTGCACTCCAAATATGGGAACAGTATTCCAGGACAGGTCGAATATGTGCCTTATAGATCATAAGTAGCTGACTGGAAGTAAGACAGCTCCTGCCCCGAAACAGAAAACCAAGTTTTTGGGATGCGCTTTCAGCAATTGATCTTACGTGATTTTCCCAAGAAACGTTATTGCTGATAGTAATATACCAATAATAATATGATCAATCCTTCTCAAATGAAAGGCTATATCCAGAAAATTCAATTGAAACTAGATTCAAACCTCCTCCTCGTATATTTATATATCAAACTTTATTAGCACAGTGCTCTTTCTCACAGTGGAATCTACAATGAAATACAATAAGTCAATGAATAAAGACATAGAAATACAGAACTCAGACACAGACACATAAATAACGTCACATATAATGAGATAAGGATAATTTACAGATTTCTCCTCTCTCAATTGATTAATTAATAATTTTCTTTCACAAATATCACACGATTCTCTAAAACTATATCTAGTGGCACACACACTAGACTAGACTAGACCTTTTGTAAATGAAGAATCACAGACAATATTCCCAGAATTTATATAGAAATCATTTGCTGCTTATCTTCTGGTATTGTAACAATGTACGTCTCGAACATAACTTATCTCACTTGATAAATACAAAGGCAACATGTTATTTTTCAATTTATAAACAAAAATAAGTGTATCATATGGAACTCTTTGTTTGATGTTCATTAATTGCAATTTGTTTAGCATTGTTGTGACTGGTGTGCGTCTTTCACAACCCAAAATCGCTCTCATTGCACGATTCTGGATTAAAATCAACGTGTTCTTTCCCGGAATCATCTTTGTTGAGAATTCCTAGTGTGTTTTGTCACACTGCCTGGCTAGTTTCAAAATTATTGATGACCTGCTATGTGTCGAATGATCCGTTCGGAGAGCGAAAAAAATATTGATTCAACGACGGAGGAACATCACGTCGAGGAGTAGTTATTAGTTGATGGGAGTTCGGGAGTTGGCCTTTTAATCCATTAAAAGTTTCCGGAGTGGTGCTTGTGTGGAGTGCCCTTTGATTTCTGCACCGACAGAGTCTGATGACCACGAGAGACGAGAACGGAGGCAGACAATTTTTTGAGGCATTTCGAGGAGAGCTCTGATTAGTAGGATTACTACAGAGTTTGGAGTTGGAAAAGTGCGAGATGTCTTCGACTCAAGACTAATTGAGGAAATTATACAAGGTGATTCTGGGTTGGGGACGTATTGTAGGGATCAAAATAAGACTTATGTATGTATGTATGTATGTATGTGTGTGGGCGGTCCGGGACCTGACGCACTTAGGCCTCCCTTTTCGGGTCAATTGTACACCCACATTCCTGGGATCGCAAGTCAGCCATGGGGAAGGCCTATCTCGCGAGCAAAAGAGACCAACTTTCTAGGCCAAATCTTTTCAACATCCTCTGGGTTCAGAATACTGCTCTCAAAATGGATATCATTTGCTGCCACTACTGCCGGGCATTCAGTGAGGATGTGAGTAGAAGTCTCTTCATCCTCTAGGCACCATCTGCATTCAGGATCCTCCACAATCCCGATCGTGCTGAGATGTTTGTTCAGGTGGCAGTACCCTGTCAGAAGGTCCACCACCAGTTTCAGCTCCTTCCTGTTCAAAGCCAAGAGGGCATTGGTCTGTCTTCGTGACGGGTTTCCTGTATGGAGTTTGGACTGCCTCATTCCAGGAGCCTTTCTCCAGCTGTCCTGAAACCTTTCCGTCAGGATTTCCTTCATCTTGAAGTTGCTCCAGGATCGAGTGACCCCTAAGATTGGCTCTGGGCCAATCACTGAACCCTTCGCCCCCCTTCTGGCCAGACCATCGGCCATTTCGTTACCTGGTACCTCTGAGTGTCCAGGGACCCACAAAATAAGACTTCTTCGTCATTAAACATGTGTCATAAAATGCAACGCGTGTGAGCGACAGCCACTGTAAGTTGGGTAAAAAAAGAGATTATCTGAAATTCCGATCATAATTACAGACCAAGTGCAAGTATTTTAGTACTGAACGCTTATATAATAGCATAGTCTCGAATGCACTCCGACATACAATCTCATTTTATTTTATTTTATTTATTTATAGAACGGTTTTACCCTTACAATAGAAATTTATTATATACCTATAATCAAGATAGCGAAAGGACAATAACATCACAGCATCGACAAATGAAATTCAACAATAATATAAATTCACCTTTCCGTAAACACTACAACTTGTTGTTGAAACTATTCCCTATTTACCAGGTCAAGTTAATCAAATTTCAATAAAATTTCATTCAGAACACTCGATATATTTTCTTCCGTCAGAAATTTCTATTCTGGAGAATATTTTTGTGAGTAGAGAAACCTCTAATCTGCGACTATTGCTTTATACATTAATTGTACCCTCGACTCTTGACATTTGATGACCCACATCTAATTGAAATTTAATCGGAGTGACAATGAATAGACGAAATTCTCCCATTCAAATTCACTTCTTTATCACTCGCCCTCAATTATTCCAAAGCCACGCTCAAATCAATTACCCTCTTGAAGAATAACGAACCGTTTTTCCATTTCATCATCGCTTACTCCAATGCTTTGGCTGGATATCAACTGAAAAGCATTACAACTGGAGTCTTCTCTACTTATGAGAACTCATAAAAATCGGAAAATTCAATCAGTATAGCCTTAGCTGCAATCTCAGCCCACTGACTTTATGAATACAGACGGGTGATATTTGAACGTGGTTTCCTACATGGTGGATGAAGATTCAAACATTCATGCCACTATCACACTGCAGGCAATATAAGTGACCAGTTCCACCTAGTAGTCAGAAATTCAAAGATGTGTATGGAAGTTGCAAACAACCATATTTATGAACAAGCTTATCAAAGGGTGAAAATGAACAACTTTTGTTGTTTATTCAATGAATATTCGTGGAAATACCTTTGAGCTTTCATATTTGTTTGAAAGATTGCTTTCACGAATAATTCATCATTGAAAATTCCTTTTCTTTCCAGATGATCACCAATCACCCAGTGGTACCACCACCTCCAACCCCCAAATGACGTACCCGACAGCCTGAGAAGATGCTTCACGACCATGACCCTAACGGCGACACCTACTCGACCTACCGCAACACCTACTTGCGCAGATCCCCCCCACCAGGTCACCCCTCCGAATGCTGCTACGACCACGAGAAGCACAAGCCCCCAGCAGGAAAAATCTCTCTATTCTGCTGCTGCTACACATGCCCTGGCACCAGGACGACCTCCATCTTGGCCACTCTCGGGGTGTGTTTCCTGGTCTTGGCTTACACCATCCTGGGCGCTTTCCTCTTCATGGCCTTGGAAGGGAGTCTGTACGAAGACACTGCTGTGGCTGCTTCCAAGCTGAATCCCAATGGGGAGAAGCTGTCTATCGGGGAGTTGCGAGAGAGGACTGTCAATGAGTGAGTTCAGGGCCAATCGATAGGGATGCAGCTCGTGCACCGCACGAGGGCGGCCAAATCGAAGGGCAGCCGCAGGCTATGTTTTTTTTCAATAATGAGTCGAACAAATATACTGAATTCTGAATATTTATATCCAATGAGAAGAACACAAAGTCATCTTCACGTCTTTTCAATTTAAAAACATCAAATTAGAAAGATGTTTCGGACATAAGTGAAATACATCTCCAGTCTACGCTGGCGAGTCCTACAATACAAGGAAATACATCATAAAATGAATAAAAACATTTTCAAATAGATAGTACTCACATGGATATGAGAAGGGTATGTTACATTTCAGAAAAATAATGGTATACTAACCGACCCCCAAAAGGGACAAATAATGAAGGACGACAGGGAGGCTCAACAACCAGCAAACAACTATTATTCATTCACAATTGACAAACATACCATTTGAATTAAAATATTTCGAAAATGGCTTGTTGAAATTCAAAAGACCAAGACGAGACTGGCTCAGTCTTGGTCTTGATAGTCTTGATCGTGGATCAAAATGCGTCTTGAAATTTGAAATATTCAATTCAAATATCCAACAGTTTATCGGCACATAATAGGTTTTTCTCAGTCTTCGAAATTGTCAATTTGTGCGTATGAAGTCAGCGAAATGAATTGCTCCTTTTACCATAAGAATATAATTTTCAAGAAACCTTAAATATACATTAAATGAGACCCAAACAGCTATCAGACCGACGCCCGACTGGCCAGAAAAAAGGTTCTGAAGGTTCGGAATGTTAATAAGGTTTTCATTAACCATTTCACAATAGGAGAAGGTATGATGGCCAACTGTGACCTTACAATATTTATTATTTGTTGCAAACTTCAAAACTGCAATACTGAATTTGAAAGATGTATTTCGGATTTTAAGTGAGCAAAAATTAAAAACCTACCTTGGGTATATTCCACAGATCGACTTTTCTAGCACCGATTAATAAACCGAAATATAACACATAAACAATACCACAGCTTTCACGTGCTCGTTGATCCTCACTGTTCAACGACTTGACCATCAACTGGCGATGAATCACAAAATATCGCATCCCCACCCTCTCAAATCAACACATATCAACTGGTTCCATATGGGACCGTTAGACGTTAATGGTTTAATATTGAGTAGATTTGAGTTCATCAGTTTCCATTCAAAACCAAGAAGTCTTGGTCTTGATTTTGGGAAGATTTATTGAGTGTTGATCTTGGTTTTGTATCAAGACCAAGAATGGACTCTTGGTCTCGCGAAGCCCTACTATAACCTCTATCTTTCCAGGCTTTGGGGAATAACTGAGAACCTCAACATCCTCTACAGGGAGAATTGGACTAGACTAGCGGCCAAAGAAGTTCTAGAATTCGAGAAAGCCCTGATCAAAGTGCTCAGATTCAGCGACGATGAGGCCGTGAGGTCGAGCATGGGGACGATGGGTCATCCTCAAAATGTCCACAAATGGAGTTTCAGCTCCAGTTTTTTGTATTCCTTGACGCTCATCACAACGATAGGTGAGTAATTGGTTTTTTATTCTCGGAATGCAGCTTCCTCAATCTGTAGCTACAGAGGTGAATTATTTTCCTTCAGCTACTTACAGACTCAATAACGACAATCAAATGCTATCTTATGATAATTGAGGTATGGAGATTGCCCAAGTAGAACAATTATAGCGATTTTCATTGGTAAAACTGGCTCGCACTGAGTGCACATTTTGTATTCCATTGGTAAAACTGGTGTTGGGTGTTGAATTCCATTGGGAAACTGGTTTCACATAGCTTAGAGCTCAGTGCAACAATTCTCGCACGAGCTCTACTAGGTCGTGCGAAGTCAGTGCAGTTCAGAAAATGGCGGAATATATAGAGTTTTAAAACCAAAATTGAGTGGCAATCTAATCATCATCATCAAGTTGGAGGTTTCAAGAAAATGAAGGACATTACTTCCCAGTTTTCATAATTTTCTTGGGTGTTTCACACTTATTCAATGAAGAAGAGGTAGGTATTTGTTGAAAAAACTGCTCAAAATTATTTCCATGAAACATCTACTTTGTTTTCAATCAAAGTCAGGAAAGAAATTTAGGATGCGGACAAGTTATAAACAAAGACAAACCAATTTATTCGATTCAACCTCCAACAATATATATAACATCTCATTATATTATTTCGTATGCCATTGGCAATGAACCAGTTCAAATTTTGGAGAGAACTAATGTAGTGTTGGTGCAAAACCATTACACCACCAGGTTTACGAATGGATTTCGATATCATTCTGGTTCGAAATTGAACCAATATAGAGTAGGTAAATGTTGGGGAAATATCGATTTTTAATATTGGGCCAATGAATCAATGTGAACATTCTGGGATCTTGGTGCTGTGTTGAATGTAAATCCTGTTCCGATATGCTCTATTCAATAACGAGTTTATATTCGTATACAGATTTGAAAAAAGATAATTATGATGTCAACTTTTAGAAACCGGTTTCCATGAATCTCACATGTGAATTCGATATTGATTTCATATTTGCCCACTATATTGGCCAAAATAAGGATGTGATCATTTTGCAATATTTTCTTCATGTTGAATTATGATATTCAATCAATATCGTATTCGGTTTTTGCTACAAAATTCATATTCGAAATTGAGAGCCATATCAGCATTATTGAAAAAAATGAGTGGTATAGGTACACATCAGTTCCGAATAGAGTTCACTAGCTTATCACTCAAAATGTGGTCAATAATACAGACAGTATTCAAGATAGGAGTGTTTTTGCCAATTGTTGTTCAATGAAAAGACAATATCATCTGGCCCAGAAACTAAGTTTTCATTCATTCAGAGCGACAATGGTTATGCCTAATTACTACGAAAGCGCTGAACGGACATGATACTTTTCATAATTGCCAGTTTGAACTGGCAATCAGCTATGATTGCCAGTTTGATCTGGCAATTAGCTATACTTGTCAGTTTGAACTGGCAATTAGCCATAATTGCCAGTTTGAACTGGCATTTAGCGCTTCCGTACGAATACGGTTCAAACTGCCAATTATAGCTGAATGCCAGTTTGATCTGGCAATTAGTCATAGTTGCCAGTTCGAACTGGCATTCAGCTATAATTGGCAGTTTGAACCGTATTCGTACGGAAGCGCTAAATGCCAGTTCAAACTGGCAATTATGGCTAATTGCCAGTTTGAACTAGCAATCAGCTATGATTGCCAGTTTGATCTGGCAATTAGCTATACTTGTCAGTTTGAACTGGCAATTAGCCATAATTGCCAGTTTGAACTGGCATTTAGCGCTTCCGTACGAATACGGTTCAAACTGCCAATTATAGCTGAATGCCAGTTCGAACTGGCAACTATGACTAATTGCCAGATCAAACTGGCAATTATGGCTAATTGCCAGTTCAAACTGGCAATTATGGCTAAAAAAGTATCATGTCCGTTCAGCGCTTTCGTTAATTCCTGTAGATAAAACTGAAGCAGAAAAATGTTGTCAGTAATTTTGTTATCAAATCCGAATTTGATATAAAACGCGAATTCGCTGGATATCCACAAAAATCCGGATGAAACGAGCAACGAATAGTGGAACATATCCAGAGAGATAAATTCGAATCGGTCGATTGATTTCGAACCATAAAATCACAAACCAAAAATGACTGCATCCGGCGGAAATGACGCTTCAATAAAATATTTGCGAACGATAATCAAATGATAAAATAATTCGAATCGATCTGTGCAACCAAGGACGTCCCAAAAGTGAATTTAAATTGGTGGTAACAGAGCCGGATTAAGACCACCTGGCGCCCGAGGCACAATATATTTTTTCAACAAGCGTACGTGATTCACCCTATTCACGCAATTTATTTTAGGAAGTGTCATGTGTTTCTGAGTATTATCTGAATGAAATCATGATGTTAATTATACTTTTCTCATCATTTTCAAGCATCAAATATTAATCGACTATAAATAACGCCCTGTATATGATATCGACATGAAGATTTGACCACATGTATTCGAGGGTGTTCTCAACATGTTGAGAATGTCAGTTTTCCGCTGAAAAAATTCCTGATATTACTAACTGATTTTAGGCATTTTCAATTTATCATAGTTGGCCGTGTCGTAGTGCAATCAGAGTGTTGGATACTCAGAAATGTAGAACTCATTGAGAAGTACATGTTGAAACAAAAAATTTTTGAAATCGGTCAGCGATTATGAAAATACCAAGGTGATGATGTTCAAAGTGGGACACACTGTATAAATTCCCCTATAGCCTTCAATTGATCTGATGTGGGAAACAATTGTTGTCATGTCATTCAATACACAAATTACTTAGTATAATTCTCAGAGTGACAGACAGAGCGTTACTGTCATTTTTGATTCAGTGGAATTGTGATGAAAAACTTTCAGCTACAGATGGGATACAGGTGAGTAATTGCCAACGAAGTCTTAAGAAAGGTATGAGAAAAGTGAAAACAGAAAATAAAGAATTATTTCCTAGAAATGTCTGAAACCTAGAGGCCAACCAGTATGGGCATGCTGACTCCCGCAATAAGCTCACCTTCATATATTATTGCTTTAGACGGTACACACAATAGATATATCACTAATTATTTTGCAGGAATAATTTACTGAACGAATCAATCAACTTCCTACGCTTGTTAAAAAAATATTGTTCCTAAATCTGCACTTGTTAGGAAAATAACTATTTTCGTCCCCTATACAAATTACAAAAATTTAAAAATGGAAAAAATTATTCTCCTCGAGTTGTTTTCTCATTTCCATATTGACTCTTCTCATTTCAATATTGAATCTTCTCAGTGACAGGAGTTGATGCAAACAAATGAGTCATACAATTTTTTCATTAATTAGTTTCATCGAATTCGAGATGAAGAATACCTTTTTTTTATGTTGAAAACGGGAACAGATTCGTTTTCGAAACATCAAAAGCTAAGTAAAAAATTGTTATTCTCTCGATATACCTACCTATCTATATGTTTCTTTCCTACGAACATTCTTAAAATAAGGTATCACTGACAATCTACTGAAATTGTGATGGTACGTGATTGTATGTTATTTTTCTTTTACAATCAGCACCGAAATTTCAAGAAAATGTGATCATCGATAAGATATCAGGGTGTATTCATGGAAAGCGGTACACACTGTATATACAGTGTCATCCATAAAGTCGGCATCATATGGAAGGAACTTTCATAATAATTAATTTCGAAATTCGACTTGGGCGTTGAGAGTTGCTCCAAAAAAGATGAACAACAGCCTACTCGGTCACGTGACTTTCGCATCATGTCAAAAGTTGAATTATTTCAAATTTATCGCTGAAATTAGTCTTATTCGTACGAATTTCAAAAAAGTTCACTAGGAGAATTTGTTTCTGTTCAAATTTTACATATGCGTCTCGAATTTAAACGTTCTATTGCAACTGTTAGTACTTGATATTTTTTGATTCCTTCTAATGATTGTAACTTCGACAAAACTGTCCTAAACTTTGGTGAGATACGTAAAGTAGCTTGATGATATTTTGAAAGGTGACCCTGGTATCGATTTAGTACTGGAAACATCCATTTGAATAAATTTCGCTACTGAATGCTAGACGATAGATCAACTTTGCATCAAACATAACATAAATTTGAATCGGAAATCAGTATATTTTCTGCAGAAAATCATATTTTTGTCGATAATAAGTGATTGAAAGTAAGTAGCATGATGAAGCTACTAGAATAAAATAGACATTTCGGAGGAAAGGAAAAGAATATCAGAAACTGAAAGTCATTATGGAACGTTCGAATTCGAGACAAATTCATGTAAAATCGGAATAGAAACACTTTTTTTTCCGTGAACATTTTTGAAATTCGAACAAATAAGCCTATGTTCAACTATTAATCTGAAAAAAATTAACTTCTGACAAGTAGCGAAAGTCACATGACCCCAAGCGAGTAGTTTATTTTTCGTATTTTTCAAAGCAAAACGTAACGAACAAAACGTATTTCAGAATGAATTATTGTTAAAAGTTTTGCCCATATGATGCCGACTTTATGGATGACACTGTATACAGTTAAAGGGTGTCCCGAAATTACATAGGAATATTTCAACTCCATCAGAATTTTGGAAAAGATATAGTGAAAAATCTTTCACATATACAGTGTGTCCCACTTACCATGCTCACCATGGGTATCTTATTAACGGTGAGAGATACGAGGTAGGTTAAATGACACCAAATGTGGAGTTTGTCAAGGCCAACTATACTGTGAAAAAATATTTTGTTAAAATCTATTCGCTTTTGTTTCATATGCAAAAAAAATATTTTGATCATTTTCATGTCTCCTCCATAACTTCTTTATTTATGAAAATATTCAGATAAGAATTTCACATTCTCATGGCAGTTTTTCAAAGTGATTCCGAAAAGAATATGAAATTCATACCAACTCTTCTAGAATTTGAGATATCAGCACCGACTTTAGTTTTTCAAATGTAGGTCATAGCTCACTATGACTTAGTTACAA